CTGCCACGCAAAGAACACAACAAATGTTGTTATTGTGTACTTGTAAAGCTGTTGATTTTTTCCCCGTGTTAGAGGACTGGTGATAGAAAGAATATCATTTGTGCACTGTTCACATTGTTCTATATGTATGTAACTTTATTTCGGTTTCCCTAAAAGCTTTTGTGATTATCATAACAAATTTTTAAACAAAATATACATTTGAAACATTTTAAAAATAAATAGATTTTATCTTGTGTAAAGAGATAAAAAAATAACTGCATTACAAGGCAGAAATATATTTCCTTATTTTCGTGTTGAAGAACAGAGAAGACGGAAAAAATAAAAATGAAAAAAAATAACTGGGAAAATGCGTAAAAAGGAAGCAACATCATTTGTTCTTTTAAAAGATTTCCTATTTTGGGATCAAACTCATCTTTTGACAAATTTTCTGTTTTGAGATTAGAATAAGTGAAGATCACATTAATATTTCAGTTTTTGGTCGAACAGTTCATCCAAGCTTACCTGTCCACCAGGTAGGTTAGACTACACTTATGACAGGTGTGCCAGACCATATGTCTGTCCACCACCTGTAGGCCAGTCATCTAACTGACCCCTGCGGGTCATCCCTGACCACTCATTATCTTGTGATATATAACATTTGAGTGGCCGGAATACCTGGAGGGTCAGTTTGACTTTTGTAACTGTGGTATGTAAATCCTATTTACCTGTTAGACAGGTAGACAGGTGTAGGTTGTCAGTATTCAGGACATACACTAAGAGGTCAATTCAAGAAATGTAACTGACCATTAACTAGTTTGGTCCAAGCTTAAACTGCATGACCATAATTTTAACTTAAGGATCCTCGTACCACTGCAAAAAAAATCTTATTATGCATTCGGAACTGTTTTTTTCAAGCAAGACTATAGCTTTTGATATATCATTTAAGAAACGAAATTCATACCTTACAGACTTAATGAAAAAGCAATAAAGGTCAATGAGCTACCTGGTCAACGGACGTGTTCTCACCAAGTTGTGTGACAGTTATATCAAAAAGGATTATTTACTGATATGAACTCTGGTCTAGGTTGTCAAGAGTTTTAAAGAGCATGATTTGAAACAATATCAAGCTGTGAACCTGGTATGAATCCTGCTATAGGTGCAAAGAGTTGGGGTGAATCTGGTATGAATCCTGCTACAGGTGGTGCAATTTAGAGTTTAGGTGAATCTGGTATGAGTCCTGTTATAATATAGATGTAAAGAGTTTAGATGAACCTGGTCTATATCCTGCAACAGCTATCAAGAGTTTTGAGTAACCTGGTAAAATCCTGCTATAGCTATCAAGGGCTAAGAAGAATCTGGTATAAACCCTGCCAAAGCTGTCAAGAGTGAACGTGGTATGAATCCTGTTATAGTTGTAAAGAGTTTAGGTGAACCTGTATGAATCCAGCCATCTTGTCACATCATATCTCTCCTATTACTCTTGTATGTATAAGACTAGAGGCTTGTCACCATGGTAACGCTGTCAACTTGTAAAACGTGTATTAAAGCTATTACTATGATTTCTGGTTGGCTAAGCAGAGATTTGACACAGCTAGGTGATAAAATGGGGCTATTATACCACATTATACTGAAATATTTGTTATCCGAGAGGGGGATAATTTCTCATGTAATGTAAATTTGTAACCATATTTTCCCAAGCTTTTAAAAGTCTGCACAAATAATACCTGCCATACCTAAAAACAAGAATAGACCACAACTATTATCCTTGAAGGAAGATTCTATTGTCAAGGTACAGGTGTTGAAAATGTATCCAATATCTTTTTCATGACAGAATTACTCATGTGGAAAAAGTGATAAAAGTCTGTTTTGCTATGAAGTAATGTATATCGGAAGCTAAGGCCAGAGGGTGAACTTCTTTTATGTCATAAAACTTTCCCGAATTCACAGCCTACTGCTGATCAACGTATAGTTAGCTTAATCTTCTAACCTACAAAAAAACCCAGAAAAACAAAGCAAAAAATGAATTTTTCCCAAAAATATCCAGGGTAATTTTTAACATTCTTAATTATCGTTTTTAGTGAAAAACTTAAATACTCAACCTTAAATTCCTTGATTTGTTTTTACAATCAAACATTTTTTCATTTATTCTAAAAAAAATTGGTATGGTTTCAAGCTAACAAAGTAATGAGTGTTAAGAATGCCAATTGTGATACTGACACAGGTGTATGCATCAATTATTTCGACAAAATACAAATTTCTCAACAAAAAATAAACAATTACAGTTAAAAAAAACAGTAGTTATATAACATGTGGGAAAGTGTTGCAGGAGAAAACACCACCTGGCAACCTTTGGGAAAGTTTGAATCATCATCACCCAGCATCGGATGTAATTGTAGTCCCGCCGTTACAGAAAATAATCACGGTAATTTGAAGGGAATTGTTAAGGGCTAGATACACTTTCCACCTGTAACAGACGTAATTGTAGGTTAAGACCAGCAGAGAAACACAACTTGTGGGAAATGTTCAAGTGAAGACAGACTTTCTCATGAAAAGCTGTGATGATTCAATACTCCAGTGATCTCATTCCAACCAAGGGATCTTAATGGTGGAGGATTTTGTTTCGAGTAAGAGGTTTTTTCATGTTTGATCAGCAATAAATGTGTGATAATTGATTTTCATAATTGTTGTCATTGATGAATTTAATGTTTTTCTAATAAAGTCAAGTGAATCTGATACCGTGGTTCTCGTTACATTTTATGGGACCGATTGTATGCGAGACCTAGCCTTATGATGGAATATTAAGATAGGTCCGGACAACTCTTAGACTGAACATTTAATACAAAACAAGAGGATTGTCTAGGCAGAATTGTTATTTACTCATTCACCCCTGAAGACACATTTTAAGTCTTCCAATTCATAGGTTGGAATAGTTCATTATGCAATTTCAGGGCTGAATGAGTTTATAGTATATCAGGGTTAACATTTTACTGTATCCAGATTCAAGTGCTATCTTTGTCTGATAACATTTTGATTTCAGAAAATCTTCCCTTTTTACCCGTCCTTGTATGACCAAGGTTGTTTCGAGGATGATAATAAATCTGAAAAAAAATCAATCTTTATAACATCCTTAAATCAGAGTTATCTTCCCTTAATTACCATCCTTATATCAGAGTTATCTACTCTTAATTACCATCCTTATATCAGAGTTATCTACTCTTAATTACAATCCTTATATCAGAGTTATCATCCCTTAATTACCATCCTTATAACAGAGTTATCTTCCCTTAATTACCATCCTTATATCAGAGTTATCTTCCCTTAATTACCATCTTATATCAGAGTTATATTCTCTTTATAACATCTTTACATGAGAGTTATCTTCTCTATAACATCCTTATATCAGTTATATTCTCTTTATAACATCTTTACATGAGTTATCTTCACTTTATAACATTTATACATGAGAGTTATCTCCTCTTTATGACATCTATATATCAGAGTTATCTTCCCTTTACTACATTCTTATATCCTCTTTATAATTTCCCAATATAAACACTTTTGTAAGAGTTATTTCCTCTTTGTAAGATCCTTATATACAGGAAAATTGAATGCTAACTGTTCAACAAAATAAATGGAATCAAGGAGTGTTTGACATTGTACTGCAGGATATATAATAAAAACAAAGGCATATATAACAATCATGATCTGCAAGCTAGTAAATAAAACAAGTAGTAAGATTTTACTGTAAATAGCTGAGCGCCCTTTATATAATACATTGTATACCATTTATAAAAGTAGGAAGGAGGTCTGAAGCCTGCGGGCATTACAGTTATAAACGGTCACACAGAACCACTGACTGACATATTTATGTAAATAGCTTCCTGTGTGAAAAGAATTTGTTAAGTAAATCAACTTGAATAAATCTGTCTGAATACGAGTAATGTTATGGCCATGATTGACACAGATTTATCACAAGATTATGCAAATAAGGCTTTTCTTGGTGACAAGAATTGCAAAAGAGTTCTAGCCGATACATATAAAGGCAGATTTGGTGGTTACAATTTCAGCCATTTAAACTGTCGAAATGATTTATATACATGCGTTTATTGTAAGATCGGATGACATTTTGCATTTATCTGTAAACTATGCACATCTTGAAAATTAAAAAAATCTGAATAAGAAGGTTAGAGAAGTGACCAACACAAAGTAATAAACACCAAAACGCAACAAGGAAACCGAAAAACATTATTTTCATGCACTGTTAGATATGCAGGACTAAAATAATTCCCGGTAGAGTACATCTGTTTTGTGCTGGTCCAGTAAGATATATATAACACAAATAGTTTCCCCGTCGACTATGAGACCCCTCTGATGCGGTGTGCCTGTCGACATTGCCAGCTGGTACAGTAATAACATGTCAGTATGTTTTGTGTTTCCACGCTAATCTCACGCCCCAGACAGCCTGTACAGGCCTTGTTGATGTATGCAGTGGTACATGTGTTTTTTAAGGCTAAAATGTAACACAATATTACATATGCTGGACGTGCTCTACCACAGTTGCCTGGCAACTGTTTGTGCCAGAGTATACAGGTAGAGACTAACAGACAGCTGACATACAGATGTGTGTGTGTAATGATGAAGTTAATATTAATGTAAAAATAATATAAGAAAACCATTTATGACATAAATGATGTTGTACACTATTAAATATGAAATGAAAACATACTTCAAAAAAAAAAAAAAAAAAAATTCTTATGAAAAAATTTGTCTGAATGAGACTATTTATCAGGATAACAAAAGTTATGTCCCTTTTAAATATTATTATATGGGTTCAATCTGTAAGAGTTATGCCCCTTGAACCACACAAAACATCTTACATACCTCAGATCATGCACAGTTACCCCCCTTGTGTGTATAATGTGTATCATGTTTGGACAGTTAAAAACAAACCAGATTGATTTAATTCAAATTCAAAGTAAATCAGAGCACAACTCAATTCAACACTTCAGCAAAGTACGAACCACTTAGGACTTCAACACAGCATTTCCCTGTAATACCCATTCGACAATCTTAAATAGAAATATCATCCTTTTCCTTGAAAAAACATATATTTTTTTTATTATTTAATTAAACTGTAGAAGGAAGTGCTTCTGTACCAGATTCTGTATCAAATAATGAAAAAGACTGTCCAAACCTGACAGATTCAAACTTATCAGAACTTGTCCTCCACACTTTTATACATTTCAAGTATTTTTACATCTAAACCTGTTTACATGCCATGATAGGAAGGAAAGATTTGTATAGAAAAAAACCATCAATGCAAGTTGCCTTCTCTGTCAATCATCCTCAGCTAGATTCACTCTTACTTTCATCAATGCCTTCGTTGAGGATTGAACCTGGGACCTCCAGTTTACTAGCCTGAAGCTTAACGGAATAAGCTAAGATAAATTCTCCGCTGCCAAGTCAGTGGGAAGCAGCTAGTATTTCACCCAGGAGATTCAAACATCGATGTAGCTCCTTGAAAAACAAGAACTTAACACTACCTGTTTTTTACATGAAATTGGTCGTAGCGTAACAAAAAAAAATAAAAGTGAAAACTTACGGATTTCGGCAGCCACATGAGCCCCACAAACTTCCTGTCGCGACAGCAGACACAGTGAGATGTTTAACTTATTAATACCATCCTCTAGCACTGAATAGGACTTCTGGGAAGCGTCAAAACAGTCCACACTTTTTACGATAACTGTCGACCACGTTGTGCCGCCATTGCGACTGACTTTGATACGAACACAGTATGTGACATTGATGTCAATATCGAGAGTCAACGACTTCTCAGACACTTTAAACACTGGTACAGACTTTATAGTCGGAAAAGTTAATCCTGGAAATCAAGAAAAAAAGGCATTTTAGAAAAAGTATAATAATATTTATCACACTAATACAGTAAAGGTATTTTTTTTTGCTGGGTAGTCATTTTCGAAATATTTATACTTTTTTTTTGCGAAAAATTAAGCCAGTGAAAAAAATAGCAAGTCCATCGAACCTTACTGTAGCACTATATGCAATCGCTACGATGTAAACCTAAACTCTACAATAATGGCGATCTCCCGAAAGTGACCATTTTTGCAAATCTGTCAAAATCAGAAAATGCGAAAAAAATCCTCTTTTGTATATTATTCAACAGTGAAAACTGTCTAAATGAAAGGGCAAAATAAAACGATCAATCAATTTGAAACAAAAACAAATTATATCTGGAATTATTCTATAATTTGAACGTTAAATAAGAAATTTGAAATAAATCCAAATCGAAACTTACTTTGAGTTGTGACTTTTATTGATTCCGAGTGATTGCCTTGTCCGAGCTGATTCACACCGTAAACTTTGAAGTCGTACGTTGTTTCCGGCATTAAACCGGTCACATTGTACTCGTCTGCTGTCGCCACATCTACATCGTTTGCACCATGCGATGAATGTGGGAGACTTGTGTAGCGAATATAAAATGTCTGAGATTCTCCCCCGTTAAATCCGGGAATCCATCGTAAGTAAACGGATTCCCATGTTTTAGAGAGTACAGCTAAAGCGCTGGGTGCTTCGGGTTTATCTAGAAAATTAAAGCCGAAATTGAAAATCAAACCTAAATTAAATCAAAATTAAATCAAAATACTTGTTTTACAAACACATCCCATTACATGTACAACTTGTGAGGTCATAAAAATATAATTTTCGGATTTAAATTTTAGTAGAAAAAATATATTTTTGGATACAGATTTGGTCTTGGTTATTTTGCCCTTCACAGTTGATCAAGTTGTTATTGTATAATAAGCTGTATTATACCATATTAATCCTGCAATAAGGGCAGGGAGTCAATACATAAACCCTGACACAAAGTAGGTGGCTTAGCTTATTACAGGACAATAAAAAAATAACTTATGTTACGTTAGACATGGGTGGGCTTATTACCAGGCATGGGCTTATTGTCAGATAAATACGGCAATATTTGCCATCATTATGCATTTTTATCACCACTGTAGACGGTGCAAGTTGAGCTACAGCAATTATTTTAAGTGTACAGTAGCAAATTTCAACTTTTACCTGTGCTCAGCTTACATAGTGACGAATAAAAATATTCTAAGTCCACACAAGTTGTCCCCCTTTGAACCCGTTTGTAACACGATCTTACTTTTGACTGCCAGGGTAATTATTTTGACTGCAGTTCCCTGGGGGCTTATCACCATACACTTGTAATCTCCAAAATCTACATTCTGAACGTCAGTGATTTGTAACACATTTGTCGCTTTGGAAACACCAATATTCGCAGTAGGCTCCTGGATAAACCGGCCGCCAAGAGACAAGAGTGATCCCCCTTTGTACCACTGGAATTGTGGGATAGGGTATCCCTGGACCGTACAGGACAGCCTGGCCGTATCGTTGGCCGTGGCTGCTACCTTCTCGTCCATATCGGTCTGCGGTGGAACTGTGAAAAGTTAACAATATTCATAAAGGTTTCTACAAAAACTTGACACAAATGCTAATTCAACTGTCTTTTTAAAATATATATTAAAATGTAAGTCGACTTCACCATTTATATAAAGCAGTAAAGACCAACCGCATGCAACTATAGGTAAACATCACTGGCCTTGGTCCTCGGCCTAGTGACTGGGTAAATACGAAATCAGTGGACTGATATTTCTATGATATAATGACGAGATCTAAAGTATTTGATACATTTAATTAAACATACAGGTTAAGAAGAGTAAAATTACACTAGTCTGACATGAACATTTTCAATATTAACCATGAAAATATATATAAGTCAGGTCTTGTAGATTTTTTTTAAATCATCCCCAGGCAAGTATTTTAAATATGAAACTGTACACCCCTTGGGTCTATGCTATTTTTATATTGACTGTTAAAGTCTGGTCAGTATGTCTATATTAACAGTTAACATCTCATTAAAGTATGTCGTATTCAACAACTTAAACAAGGTCAAACAATAGAGTAAGGTCAAACCAAGGTCCTGAGAGTGACCTTTGACACTTACAGAAGATGAGGAGCTCCTTGGTGTGACTCTGCTGTGTGCCGGTGGCGTTGGACAGGGCCAAACAGGTGTAGTTGCCAATATCTTGCAGCAGAAGGGTCCCACGCGACGAAGAACGCCCCGAACCTACAAAACGAAAATTTCTTGCATCACCAAACATATAAATGATGGGTGGTAGGACGGCGCAGTGAACAAAACACTTGTCTTTAACCAAGGCGGTCGGGGTTCGATTCCCTGATTGAACGTAAAGGTATGGGGTCACCTGTCCAACCACGTCAGTTTCCTTCGGGTACTGGGTTTCCTCCCACATTAAGACCCCCCCCCCGCGCGCGCGCTAACATCCGGGCCAACAAGGGTGATTGATATAAGTAGAAATAACTTGTTTTATATTATTGTAAAATAAATAAAGTTTATAACTTAAAATTAATGACACATTGCTAAATCTTTCCTACAGTCAAATCTCAATATAATTTACCTCATTTATATACAGTAGAACTTCATAATAATGCTTATTTTATATAAAATAAAACTTTCATATAAAACCATTCCTTAACCCTTTCATCACTGTAAGACCATAATGGACTCATCCAGGTCAAAGCATGGTAGAGTCTACTGAAGTTACATAGGGGTTAAAGGGTTAAAGCTAAAATATATCAATGTTGCTTTAGTTTCCTTTGTTTCATTATCTGAACCCCTTTATAATGCCCAAATTGTTCAGTGTAAAGGATTGCGTTGTGTAGATTACAGTAACAGTAGCTAAGATATCTTTATACTGTATATTTCTCAATGGGAGTGATCATTCCTTAACGAAGACATCGTTATCTTTAAAAGAAACACGACTGATGACAACTCACCCACGACTCACTGTTCGACATTAATGGTGACGTAATTACCTAGGAAAGAAACACGACTGATGACGACTCACCCACGACTCACTGTTCGACATTAACGGTGATGTAATTACCTAGGAAAGAAACTCGACTGATGACGACTCACCCACGACTCACTGTTTGACATAAACAGTGACGTAATTACCTAGGAAAGAAACTCGACTTGTGACGACGTATCGGTAGGCGCTCTCCAGACTGACGGTGGTAGAAACGGAGTAAAAGTCACTGTCCTGGTCGAATCGGTTACCATCTTTGTACCAGATGATATATGGCTGGGGTCGGCCTTGAACAACACACTGCATGGTGAAACCTGTGTTGTTGTGATGAATTGTCTCCCTTGGGTTGGGTAGCTCTTTGAATGAAACAGGCTCTGGAAAAATATAACACATAACAATATTTATCTTTGTTCAAATTCTAAGAATATTGATTTTTTTTGATTTTTTTGAATCGTTACCAAAAAAGCAGAAATAGGAGTTTTCTTGATTGATGTTATGACTTGATTTAAGAATCACTGTCCCACTGTATATAAATGTTGTATATTATTACTGTGTTTTTTTCGTATTGATACAGTTACTTCCCCTTAATTTGTTTTTGATATAACTGTAGCACAATTTGGCTAAGGCACTTCCGTTGACTGGGTGGGTAGCTTAGTCAACGCTGTTGTTGATATCAAGAAATATAAGTTAACACATATCTTCCTGGTCATCTTGACCACACAACATACCGTAGATGTCCACTTGGATGACACTTGACCCGCCTGACCCGATAAGGTTGACCGCTGCACATGAGTAGTTTCCAATGTAGCTAAGGGACACTTGGGGGATGACCAAGTCCGCAGCGTTCTGGGCAAGTTTAGAGTTGGTTTCCACCCGCCTCCACTCAAACTCTGGGTGGGGATATCCTGTTAAAAAAAATAAAAATAAAAAATAGTTTAACTCATTAACCCCTGAAAATTCATAATGAACTATTCCAACCTTCAGGGGTGAAAGAGTTAAAGGTTTCAAAAATTGTCTTTATCTGATAACATACTGAATTATGTTTTTTGTAGATTTTTGGCATCAGTACCAGCTTTAATACAAACTGCTTGAGTTATGTCCCTTACCTGGATTGTTGACGGAACATTTGAGTGAGAGCTGCTCTCCTACGTTTACGGGACTGTACGGTGATATAAAGGCATCGCCGGGTTTATCTGTAACAAAACAATCGTAAAAACAAACTCCACTTTATAATTCAATACAGGAATAAATATTAAACAGTTAAAGAATTGTAATGAAGGATAAAGCCAACACACCTATTCAGGAGTCGATTGTCTTTAAATTATCAAACTTAAACTGTTTTATTATATTGAAATAAATTTTGCATGCAGACTACTAAACAAAATTTATTTTTTGAGGCCCCTTATTTTTGTGGATCAATTTCACAGGTTTAATTTTTTTTGCGGATGTCACATCTGGAAGTCAGGGAAGAAAGTGTTACGATAAAAATGGATAAATCTGACTTTAATTTTGCAGGCTGTATTTTTCTCGCAGAAGAAATTTTATGATGGAAATTACAAAAAATACATTCTTTACAGCAGATGGTTGATTAAATGCCTATACCGATGGTCACCAATATGTACCAATGGAAAAGAATCTTATTTTTTTTTAACCAATGAGAGGTAGTCTTACATTGCACATATAGGAATGAGTATCCCCGCCGTTCCTCCTCACGGGCAACCTGATTGGACAGCTGTAGCCGGTTCCTGGCTATACACGAGTAGTTTCCCATCTGGCTTACATCGATATTGGTCAAGTTGAGGTCTCGTCCACTTGACCCCATACTGCTGTCGATCTTGAGCCACTGGATGGACGTCACTGGCGGGTTGGCGTCCACGCTGCACCTCATGTTGAGGTTGTCAGACTTACGGACAGTGTATTTAGGTGGCACTGTGATGATTGGTGCATCTATAAATAGATTAACAAATAATGTAAACCATTAACTGTAATAGCCGTAACTAGAGCCCAGGGTGATGAAAGTTGGCTGTTCCAGCAATTAATGTAAAGGGGACACACCTGTAGGACACAATCTGAGGGAGAATTCCAAAATCAAAATATTAGAAAACAATTTTGTCAGATAGCGAGTCTATAGTTTCTGATATAAAGTGCATACCTGGTATATATATATAGCAATATAAGACTCTTTGAGTTTCTTTTATGAAAACTAATCCGTCAAGCCAGATTAAGCATACCCCATATTTGCAAACAAGGTTTGCACAGAAAAATTAATCTCATCTTTGTAGCATGTAACGTAAATATATCGTAATAGATTTTAATTTCATCATGTCGCCTTTTCTGCATTGCTTTATCAGAGTTTTCTGTCACGTCATTGTTGAACCATTGTGACGTCACATGAAAAGAATGCAAGATAGAAATTTCCTACACCCCTCTCTCACCCTGGACAGATCTATCTTACACACACGGAAATGAGAGAATATATTTTATAAACAGGAGACGTCCTGAAAGTGGTTGTGAAGAGGAGCACTTTTATCGTCCCATTCACCCATCAAGTCACATTTGAGCCTTTCCAAATCAAAGACTGGGCAAGTCCAGTTTAGATATGTAGGGGTGAATGGGTTAATAAGGGGAGGGTGCTCTTACCAAAGAGAATATAGTACATATTAAATGTGATTTGTAATTAGAAAATTAGTAATGTCAGTTCATGTACCATGTTTGAACATATATTTGAAGAGATATTTGTGTTTCTAGAGAGGAAAAATGAAACGGGGCCAGACCTGGATTCCAACCCAGGACCTCTGAATTCTAGAGAGACACACTAACCAACCAAGGTACGTAGACACCGGTTGTTGACAGGCCCAGTCCTGCTTTTGAAATCAGGATCACCTCTACTCTGACTATATCTGTAAGTTATACGTACACATGACGGTGAGTTGTGTTGATAATACTCTAGTGTTGATGGTATTGGTTGCGGTACAGGAATATTCTCCCGTGTCAGTCTTCTGAGCACTTTGGAATGTGTAGGCGAGGCTAGTACCTGTAAAAGCAGAATTTTAAATCTAACTTACAAACTTTCTTTATTTTTTATAACCTGATATTTTCTTTAAATTGGTTTAACATTTTTTTTGATTCCTGTGAAATAAGTATCAACTTAACCAAAAAACACATCCAATTTTTAAGTTACCTCCCTTTACCCACAATATTTTCAAAATCTTTTTTTTTTTATCTTTTATTTTTTTATTCCTGAATTTTCTTAATTGTGTTAATTTCCACAATTTAACAGGAAAATGTCTACAAAATTCTTCACATTTACAATTCATAAATTATATTCAGAATATGACTGCTATGCAAAACCATTTTACAAAATACACTTTTTGCATCACATTGAAAATTAACATTGACAGTAAGTGTGGTATACCTGATCCCATGCGTAGTTGTGACGACCCTTTACGCCAGACGATTGAGGTGGCGGAAGGATTAGCGTCCACAAGACATTCCATGTTAAAGAGCGTTCCCAGCAGGATGTTGAAGGGAGGGTAGGCAGGCGGAAATGATATGATTGGGGCATCTGTAAACAAAAACATTATAACCATAAAATAATAACATACAGCGTTTATACTAGGGTTGTATGTATCTATAATGATCGTTCTAGATCTACACGTTCATATATTTATATTAGATATAAAAATATGCGACATGTTTATTTAATAACACACAATTGTCTTAAGTTTAACCTTGTAGACGCAGTCAAACACAAGGTGGCACACACTGAGCCTTCGAAATGTAATGACTTATTTCAGAGGTGCAGAAAGCGTAAGTGAGCGTAACCCCTGAAGTATTGAGGATGATCTGCTAGGTGTGTTAACGGAAATGATACATAGATGCAAGACAATATATCATGCTCTGAATCAACTCACTAATAAGTCATGTAAAATATACAGATTTTCACTCATATATCCTTCCAATTTTCTGTTTTTCTGTATATTTTTTTTCTTGCAATAAAGCTTAAAACTAATTTCCGCATTTTTAAAAGGTACATGGAGGATTCTTAATTTTATTTAACAATACATCAGCTTATTAATATTTTTGAAAAAAAAAATGAAAAAAAAATCAGGGTTACTTCCCTTTGGCCACATATTCAATATCCACAATGGATTACCTCCCTTAGAACACAGTCCATATTGACTACACCAGTTACCATCTCATTCAGTTAATATAGCTAATACCATAGCTCTCAAGAGATTCCGAGATTGACACCTATGTGATACATGAATATAAACATTAACTCTTTCACCCCTGCAATTTCATAATGAACTATTCCAACCATTGAATAAGAAGAGTTCAAATGTGTCTTCAGGGGTGAATGAGTTAAGTTTTCTATACTTACAAAACACAGAGAAGACATGGGTAGTTGAAAGGGTATTAGCTGCATTTAAATTGTTGAAAACTTCACACATATATTCGGCTCCATTGTCTCTAGGCTGAAGAGCTATCACAATTTGACTAGAAGATTGGCCTTTGGTCTGAATATTCTCAGACAAAATAGCACTAGGCGGAACATCCTCCTTGTTCCCATCAATTTTCCTTGTCCAACGAAACGTTGGGGCGGGGTTAGCACCAGATGAAATGCATGTTAGAGAAACAGAGTCTCCTTCGTGATAATCTGTTCGTGTAACATTGACGTCCAAACTTGGAGCACCAGGGGGCACTGTAAAGATAGTAAAAGACATAATTATTTTATATTAAAACTAGAAAACATCTTTTAAACAGGAATGACCTATAAATTAAACAGTGGCCTTGACATTGACCTTTGAACCTTGAAAATGTAACTCATCTGAAGTATTTCAAGACTTGACCTTTACATAAATTTTCATGAAAAATCTGTTCAGAAATAAGTTGGTACAGTACAGTGATGACAATGAATAAGGATGGGACAGGACGAACAAGGGGGAAATACTTAACAATCCCCCCTAAAACAAAATGGCATAAAAGGTAGCTATTTAAGGAAATGAAATTTTTAAGTATTTTCAAAGTATTATTAAAATGTTAACATTCTAAAATTGCATGATTTTCCCAGCGTGACTTTTTTAGTGAAATATCCTTCCCTTTAATGGCTTCACGTCAGATTCCTAATCAAAACCTGACAGACTGTTTTCCTTACCCAGTACGTTGAGATTTGCGAGTCCGCTTGTGAAGTCCTGGACCGTACACACAAACTCCCCATCATCGGCCGTTGTAACATTTACGATTTTAAGGTTAAATTCTCCTACAATACTGTATCTTAGAAAATCTCCGCTGATGATTTGGTTACCAACGGCAATAGTGTTTCCTTTGTTCCAGGTGACGATTTTGTCGTCGCGGTTGTTGACCTCGCACATAAGTACTGCGTCTTGGTCAACCCGGACCGACACATCCGTAGGCTCTGTCTTCCATGAGATAGAATTGACTGCTGTAAAAAGCAAAAGACTTAAATGTTATACATACAAATATACTATGTAGAGAAGCTTAACCCTTTCTCCCCTATGTAACTTAAGTAGACTCTACCATACATTGATCTGGATAAGCCCATTATAGTCTACAGTGTATGTTTATTAAATTTTATATGTACCAGAAATTAAATCATCGGGCCAATTCGTACATATTCATATTGTATCCGTTACTAAATAGTTATGTAGTGTATATATCATATTATTTTACATCAGCTGCATGAGGTCTTAGAAATGAACAGTCAAGATGTTCCTCATTCATTTTGAAACTTAGCATTCTGCTTAGCATTCACAATTTTTTGGATTGCAACATTGGTAAAGAGCAGGATTAACAGTAAATACTGTGCTGATGACTTTTTAGATTTTTTTAATTATTTTTTTCATTTTCTTCACAAAAACTTTTAACAATTGTCATTTCATAGCAAAATGTGATTTATATGTAATACTCAGGTAGCAAATGACGAAAACAAATATTTCATAATAAAAATGATGGCAAAAATATTCATCTTATCAACCAACTCAACTCCGCTTCGGGTCAATAAACTATGAACCGCAGTGAGTCAGTAATACGAACGGGACCATAAAGTGAACAAACGATACGGACGTCACGTTTGAATCTCATTTGCAATTTTTGGGCGAGAAGTTGACTATTCCAGCATGAAATTAGAGCAACAATATTCAATTCTATCAATATTGCCATACTCTATAACTTTTAGGTGGAAATGAAATGAATAAAGATGCTATAATTTTGAGATATCATATACTAATAATGGATTGCAATATTTAACAATTTTTTCAAGATTTTTTTCTCTCTCACTTATTAATGTGAAACGCAGTCTGCTCTTACACAGGAAATAACAGATTGATGATATTACTGGACACCCCAACAAATGATGTAACCCAATCGTGGGCAGAACTCCCCGGATCACTTCCCACATAATCTTCTACCCGACCCTTCCCTAGATCAGTAAAGTATCTTAAAACTCAAACTAGTGTACTCAGACAAGGTGATGTATATAGTCCGTACAGGATACAAGTACTACAAGCCCCCACACAACAAACATTGACCCGACAGTAGATAGTGGCACTTATCACCCACACTCGACCAGCTTTTCTATTGGTGGATCGATGTAATCTTCAAACTTTCCATCGCCAGTTACATTTTAACTCATTCACACCTGAAGACACAATTGAACTTTTCCGATTCAAAGGTTGGAATAGTACATTATGAAATTTCAGGGGTGAATGAGTTAATCAAAATATGGTTAGCTTTTTTCTTATTACCACTTCCTCCTTCAAATGAATTCTTAGAATTTATCATTTTCATATATATCTATAAAATATAAATTTTCTCTATAACTACCTTAATTTCATACCTGACGTGACTGTTTTGACCTCTTTTTAATAACATAGTTGGATTTTAATATATCATTGTATTCATTTGCCTTCAATTATGACTGAAATTATACCAAATTGTAAATCTGTCGACTTCCTGAATTGAATTTTATCATTGAAATATGTTTTGAAATATTTCAATTAAATTCAACATTTTTTTTTACCACACAGCATGCTATTTTGAACAGGAATAAATCTTGGATCCAAATGTTGTTTGACACAATTTCAATTGTTGAAATCTGTGAAATGAATTGTGGTGAAAATGTCCATCGTCAATTAAGTCATTCATTATGCATTTGTTCTTTAACTCATTCACCCCTGAAATTTCATAATGAACTATTCCAAACTTTGAATTGGAAGAGTTCAAATGTGTCCTCAGGGGTGAATGAGAAGAAGAAGTTTTATGGTTATATCAGAAAAGCACTTGACGATGTTGCCGATTTTGATTGTACATTGGACTACGGTAGCCTTCTAGTATTCATGCTAGAGGGAATTTCCCTTTTACTCAATGAGTGGGACTGGGAAGCTGGGGTTGCGGGTCCGATCCCCGATGGAAGCACATGCACTTCCTGTTAAAAATGGTGTCTGTGGTCCTTCCTGTGGTGACAGGAAGTTAGAACCTGGGTTGTTGTGTTGTTCGTGGGCAAACACATTTAAAAGGGGGAGTAGTGTGGCAGACTGTAATTGTACATAGGATGACGGTTGCCTTCTTGCTAGAGGGAGTTTCCCTTTCGAGTTCCGTCAGTAGAGCGATGGACTGGGAAGCTGGGGTCATGGGTTCGATCCCTAGTGGAAGCACACTACTCTGTCTCCTGTTACAGCTATATTGACTTGACTGTAGATAATACTAACAATAATTATGCAAGGTTTATAACGTTGGACACATGATTGATTGCCAGAGTTTGAATTGCAAAATTAAATGACTCAATTTCAGGATAAAATTACCAATTGTTTTTCGGTCAATAAAATGTCCCACTACATGTACATGGTCGACAGGGTTCTTGCTAGTTGATTCGGTTCCAGTGTATACATGTATATACCTAAACCTCGACCCTGTAACTCTACTGAATTGTTGGAGGCAGTGCGACAAATAGGAAATGATTGTATTGAACATTACAATGTTTTGTCAAATTATTCCCTATTTAACTACCTTAACGAAGGAAAAAATCAATATTTTAACTTTTGTATCTTTAATAAGATTCAACAGTCTGGAAATATGTAATCTCAAAGTTTTACTTTTGACACAAACAATGTGCGCATTAAGCGTGTCACAACGTTTCAAGACTGACTTAAGCTTACACAAACAGTGTATGCAATAAACGTGCTACCAAGTTTCGAGACAAAGGGACCAGTCGGTCTTGAAACATTGCGACATGTTTAATATGCATATTATTTATGTATAAAGTAAAACTGTGATATTAATATTTTTAACATTCATGTATTTAATATGAGCTATGACAGACTGATGCCAGCTGCATAACCTGCATAAATCTCAGACTGAGGCTAGACAAGCTAACAGGACAAGAATCCTCCACGTAAGTAGTATCTGTGATGGTCCAACCACTACAGGACACATTCGGGACAGCTATCTGCCTAACTCTGTCAAATACCTGATAACTTATCAGTCTACTCTATAATTATAGAAACTTGTCAGGTGTCAGTCAGGGCCCCTCTCTAACTCCTATCCTTTTTAACGTGTATAAGTCAGGGCCCTGTATCAAGTTCAGACAGTTGAACTCACTCTAATCCTTTTCAACCTGTATCTAGTCAGACCGTGGTCTAAATCCTACCGCTCTGAACCTGTATCTAGTCAGGCCGTGGTCTAAATCTTAGCGCTCTGAACCTGTATCTAGTCAGGCCGTGGTCTAAATCTTAGCGCTCTGAACCTGTATCTAGTCAGGCCATGGTCTAAATCCTACAGCTCTGAACCTGTATCTAGTCAGGCCGTGGTCTAAATCCTACCGCTCTGAACCTGTATCTAGTCAGGCTGTGGTCTAAATCCTACCGCTCTGAACCTGTATCTAGTCAGGCCGTGGTCTAAATCCTACTGCTCTGAACCTGTATCTAGTCAAGGGCCTGGATTTACTCCTACCTAGTCGGGGCTTTACTCTAAGTTCTATCCTGAAATTGTATCTTGATCAGGTCCAGGTCTAATGTCTGTCCCTCTGAAATTGTATCTAGTCAGGTCCAGGTCTAAATCCTGTCCTTCTGAAATTGTATCTAGTCAGGTCCAGGTCTAAATCCTATCCTTCTGAACTTGTATCTAGTCAGGTCCAGGTCTAAATCCTATCCTTCTGAACTTGTATCTAGTCAGGTCCAGGTCTAAATCCTATCCTTCTGATATTGTATCTAGTCAGGTCCAGGTCTAAATCCTATTCTTCTGAAATTGTATCTAGTCAGGTCCAGGTCTAAATCCTGTCCTTCTGAAATTGTAGCTAGTCAGCTCCAGGTCTAAATCCTGTCCTTCTGAAATTGTAGCTAGTCAGCTCCAGGTCTAAATCCTGTCCTTCTGAAATTGTATCTAGTCAGCTCCAGGTCTAAATCCTGTCCTTCTGAAATTGTATCTAGTCAGGTCCAAGTCTAAATCCTATCCTTTTGAGCATGTGTTTTGACAGTGGTATGGGGATCTTTAAATACACTGTTATAATTATGCAGGAACCCACTTAAGACTTACCTGGGATGATAACTAGGCTTAGACTTAGCATCACAACTAACCTGGGACTGTCATTAGGCTAAGACTTAAGATAACCACTTACCTGGGACTATCACTAGCTTAAGAATTAGCGTAATAACTTACTTGGGACAATTACTAGGCTAAGAATTAGCGTAACTAAGGCGTAAAATCCACATGACATCTCCTTGCCTGTCACAAACACCGGGGAGAAATGAGAGGCTTCATGTAACACGGTAAATCCACTCAAGTCAATCCACAATCACACGTAATGAGGATAGCCGGTATAATCCACTAACACCAGATAAATTCACTATCACTGTAATTAATTCCACATCCAGAATGATTGTCCTTAAGACTCACATACTTCCACCGGTCTTGTTCAAAAATGCTGTGATATTCTTGAATTTTATTCCACAAGTTTAATCCGAAGAGAAAAAAAAAAAAAAATCACAGGTAAATTTTCTTCCGTATTGACTGTAAAATCCACAGCAGTTTTTCAAATTAATTCCAACAGTTCTTTTGGTACTTGTAAGTCCTCTACCTGTAGAAAGAAACAAAAAAAATATTTTTACAGTCAATCAGAAAAAATATATAAATATTTCTCCAATCAAACACCTGCAATATTTAATGTCCATATACTGTACTTAAAACTTGAAACAAATTTGTCTGTCACATTTTCTATTTTCAGATTAATGAAAACAATATTTCCATGTAGAAAATTTTGAATGAATGTTAGCTAGCCTTTATCACGAAGATCTACAAATTGGCCGAGAATTTCTACCCCCACATCAACTCCTGGCTTGTTCAAGATCAAAGGGCCATGAAGACTCGAGCCAAATCTTTGGGTACATGGAGAGTTTATTTATTATTTAATACTCCAATAATTTTAGGTTCAAGATATTATCAGTTTGGTAAATGTTTTCTTTATTGATATATATTACAGTACAGACTGTATGTTTGGATTTTACTGTTGGTGAGTGAATTCTTTTAACCTTCCGTAATACCGGTTATTTTAAAAAAAATCTGATCATTATCAGGTTTTTAAATTTTTGTTGAAGAAAATTACATCCATGTTATTTTAAGCAAAGCATGAAAAACAGATTTTTTTCTGATATTTTCTATAGTATGGAACCTGTGTACTAAAAATCAATTGTTCACTGTTATTACAACACAGATGTAAACTTAACTTATTCACCCCTGAAGACACAATTGAACTCTTCCAATTTAAAGGTTGGACTAGTTCATCATGAAATTTTAGGGGTGAATGAGTTCCAAGTCATATAAGAGTCCTCGAAAATAAGTAAAAGACGTATTTAAGGTTCTTTAAGTCTATAAGCATGTTTAGTGAAATTTTGATGTTTTGATCTTTGTGGGACCGGCGGGAAAAAAATATAAAAACATGAGACTTTGACTCACAAATGTTGAACTCTGAACAATTTTCTGATCCTGTACATACTGCTTGCAACCGAATTGTTCAGTGACGGAACACAAGGCAAGAAATTTTATTTGAAATTTATAAAAATTGGATTTAATCATTCACCCCTGAAATTTCTTAATTAACTATTCCAATCTTTGAATAGGAAGAGTTCAAATGTGTTTTCAGGGGTGAGTGAGTTAATGTTAATAAAAGAAATATGTTTCATGTATTTGTTACACTATAGTTTGTATATGTTTAGGTGTTAAATGACCCTTCAACATTTTCAATATTTTCTTCAAGATCGGATCTTGATTGTATTTCAAAACAGCGAGAGACTTGACAACATAAAAGTTCAATTTATAAATGGAATATCAGTGGTGTTATATTAGAAGAACAATTTGGACTTTGTCGTAAGTTTGACACGTACATCAGGAAATAGGGATATTTAAAGTTCAGTTTATAGGAATTGACAGTAATCAGCTTCAAATACAGTATTTGATTCCCCATAAAAATCTTGCAGAATAATTTTATCATCAATCTTAATTTAATTTTTGTTTTATGAGTGTTGTGGCCCCTTCATTACATATTGCTCTGAAATGATATCACTGAATTATATAACCCTTTCCCACTGTAGACCATAATGGACTCGTCCAGATTAATGCATGGTAGAGTTTACTAAAGCTACATAGGGGGTATAAATCCCTTTCAACCTGATTAAAACAAAGATGGTGTCTCACAGACAGAGTTAAATGGAATTTTTCAATTCTCTTCGAATCTGGAGAATATTTACATCACCTGTCCCCGCCTACCTGTATCATTAACAGGTAAAATTGCAATCAATGTGTGTGTCCTTCAGTCACCTCAAAGGTAAGACTTAATTTACCTGAGGCAATTACAATCTCGTTAACTGCAGGTAGAAGTAACCTTGTAAAATACTCAATTGATAAATTTAAATAAACTGGCCACATTCTTGATTTTTCTGTTTGTATTGTGCTATATCTATATGAGTCCATACCATAAACACACCCTCTCCACATATTGGTGAGAAATTTATTGATTTCAATTAGAAATGGAGACAGAACTGGAGGGATGACAAAAATCGAAATCCATTATTTTATGTTTGAATGTCTGGATCCGACTCTACAAGTTGATAAGCTAATCAATAATTTTGTAAATTTTGAACTTATTTTCACATTTCGACATCTTCGCACGATATACAGGATTTAAAATAATCAAGCAAACAGACACACATACAAAGTACCTTTACAGAATTTTTTGGAAAATGAAATTTCATTCAAAAAACTAAATCCGATGTTTCACTAACTCATAAGTTCATTAATCTCCTAATGCTTGCAATAATGCAACATGGTCCCACACGGTGATCAATTTATTTCCAAGATTGCTTCGGCGTAACGCGTTTTTAACTCATTCAACCCTACATATCTTAACTGGACTTGCCCGTCTTTGATTTGGTAAGGTTCAAATGTAACTTTTAAGGGTGAATGGGTTAACATCAATACCAGTTATCATAATCAATGATACATACATTGTATGTATTTAAGTATCCCTGTTTTACCCCAGGCAAAATGCTAGAAAATTAAAATGATTATTTTTTCTGATCTCGAGTGATCTCCCCTTAATTTCATTTTCGATAAATCTGTAGACGGACTAGGCTAGGGGTCTACAGTTGATCAGGAAGCTCATCTGCGTAAAGCGACTGTTACACGTTCGTATAGCTTCAGGTTTCGAATGCCAGTCTGATCACGCTGCATTTTTTCTTCTCCTATTCACAGCTTCGAACGCTTTTGTTGATTGTCGTTTTACTTATTTCATCAGTGGAAAGTTCTGCAAACAGTTGGTTTCTTATTAGAATTTTTTTTTTTGCTATAGTCATGCCAGGGCAACTGTTTCAAATGCATAGTTTCAGCTTTCCGCAGTGGTGCAGGGCTCCTTATGAGACAAAAACCTTGTATCATCAAATGAACTCATTCACCCCTGAAAACACATCTGAACTCTTTCAATTCAAAGGTTGGAATAGTTCATTATGAAATTTCAGGGGTGAATGAGTTAAATAATAGTGGCGTTCCATCTATGATTTTTCCAATCAGTACATAATACTTTATTTTCACAGATGAATGTAATATGTTTCCCACTAAAATTGATAATGCAGTATAGTGTAAAGTATAATTTTAATATTAATATATTCAATTTTAATTTTTCACCCTAAATGATCTGCAAATATAATATGTGTTTAACAAATGTTCTTAACCTTCGTATTCCCATCACCGAAACAACCACTGATCAATAACGTGTGCGTAGCTTCTATTTCATTATAAACACGTAACGTCCACAGCTGTGAAATTGTATATTCAACTGTGCGAAAGAATCAATAATTTTCTTGTGTTCTCGTTATCATATATAAATATTTTACAACAATTAATTTGCATCCCGATTTAAACGAAACTTCAACACAGACGTCTAATAGGTGTGCGGTACGTGACACTATTATGATGAAAATTATTGCTTTTTTTATTTAGATCCTGTAATTACTTAAACAATGATTATTAATGACAAACTCAATGAAGTGTGCTATGTTGAAACTGTAAATTTCCAGTTGGCATTGAATCCGATCTTAAACACAGATGTTTATTTATACTGCTTAAAAATATTTTTCTCATAAGATAATATTGACGACACCGCATGATCGAAACATTCAAGATGATACAGGGAATTTACGACAGCGAGGCATTGTACGTTTATCAAAATGTGGACCAATGTAACGGAAGGAAACAGCACCAGAGGCCACTCGTGTAAGATATACCCACAACAAGCTGTAACATCTAAAAGGAAGGACTATTTTACAGTAAGAGTGGTGAACATTTGGAATGATTTACCATCAGAGGTAGTAAACGCACGATCCTTAAATTTATTTAAGGATAGGCTTGATAAATGCTGGAAAAATCAGGAAATATTATGTAACTTTAAAGCACCGATTGAAAGCGTACTTCGGTGAGACACAACGATCGAGTCCAGTGGAGAGGACCGTTAGAGGTCCTGTACTGGAAACTAACTCTGAGTAATCATAAGTAACATTCCTATATAAATTAACTCATTCCACCCCTGAAGACACATTTGAACTCTTCCAATTCAAAGGTTGGAATAGTTCATTATGAAATTTCAGTGGTGAATGAGTTAATATTGAGCCTTAAGTTCAAAATAAATGTAAGCATCTCTTCAATAAGAGTAATGACAGTTTGGAAATATTTTAATATCAAAGTTTTACTTTCTACACAAACAAATGCAACATGTTTAATAATTTGCTTGTGAATAAAGTAAAACTTTGATAAATGTAAGCATCTTTTGTTATAAGTATGTCTGTTTAATAAAAAGAACAGCCTTCTTCTGGAAAGTATTAGGTGAGGGGGTGTCGTCTATGAATCAAAACCTTTAACTTTGTGAATCTACAAATCTTACTGTTACCGATGATAAAATTATGAAAGTTTAAAGTAACTGTAATACAGTATATTTTCTTGGAGTTAAAAGTGTCTGTGAGACCCTCCATCAAATGTCTTTCTTTATTTCTATTTTCAAAGAGAAGGAGGAAGTGGGGTAGGGGTGGGGGTGGGGGTGGGGGCAGAGCAACCCCCGGGAACATGTTACAGCTAGGTAGCTTCCCACCAGTCTCATCACTTACAAAATACAATCTTTATCAATTGATAGTTTTATCATACACAGAACATTACACAGCTATACAGCATGGTAGGTGGTCAATATGCAGAATGAATCATTCTACACCTGTACATATTAATACCTACAAACAGAAGTATTAATATCCAGAGCATTATAAGGTACAGATGTTGGACACCATGGTTACCATAGCGACAGTGACACGCATCACAACAGATTAGGTCTTTATCGCAGGTGAACACACCTACTTCAGTCGATGTTATTTATAAACATGAGGACTGTGATAAATTTTCATGACAACATCGTTAATCTTCTGCCTGTCTATAACCTATACATGATGAATTGTATTAGGTTAATTAAATTTTTATAAGTCATCTTTACAAATGTCACCCTGGTACCTCAATACAATGCCCCTCATTATATTGGTCACCTCGTTT